CTCTCTCTCTCTCTCTCTCTCTCTCTCTCTCTCTCTCTCTCTCTCTCTCTCTTTTTTTCTCTCTTCTTTTTGAGCGACTTTTGCTCGAGCATACTTTTCACCCATATATATTTCGTAACAGCCACCGTAACTAAAATGGAAGATATATATATATATATTATAGGGATGAAAATGCATGAAAAGGAATATTTGGCGAACTCGATACATATCATATTTGAAATTGATGATTAAGTAAAAGAAAAAAAAAATCGATGTAATGTTCGAGGAACAGTCGCTTCGCACGTGGTCGCTTCGTCTCGCTCGATATCGTCGCTCGAACGATCGATAAATTATTCTTTTAGTCCCTGATATTTCTCGAAAGATAAAGAAACACGATGAGATTGCGGATTGAGAACACGTTTAGATTTTTTATTCTATTTATATGTATTACGCTATCATCGCGTGTCTTTTACAAGTTCCTTTTTTTTTTTTTTTTTTATTTTTTTCTTAACAAGTTCTCGCGTTCGACAAGACTGAAGTAGCTCAAATTCGATTCAGTCGTTTCCGCTGTTTATCGACGAGCTGAAGAGTTCATTGAATTCTCAAGAAAGAAGGCCTGTCGAGGGATTCATGTGCGAAGCGCGATAAACGATAGCTGTACGATAGGTACAGCGTCATTAATAGACTATTAACAGAAGAAGAATATATATAATATACAGTAACGATGTAATTAATATACAGTTTCAAAAAAAAAAAAAAAAAAAAGAGGATGGAATTTTTCTTTTATCCTTGCCCTTCGTTCATCAATCTGTCTGTATAAATATAAAGTAAATTCGTAATATATATATATATACATATGTATATTAATATTCAATATTTATATATAATTACGATTTTAATTTGCGCAAATGATAAAGTGGCATTCAAGGCTATAAAGCAAGTAGCAAAAAAGCATGCATTTAAAGAAATAAAAAGAATAAAAATATTAATCTTCTACAAATTACGAACACAATATTTTCCTATCTGGAATGGATATCAAAAAAAATTATAACGCATATGATAATTTATATTTATACTATCTCTAAAATGACGCAATATCGGCTAAAATTTCAAAATGTACGATAAAACGCATATGAACAATTGTAACGATCAAGCATTTTATTCTTTTTTTTCTTTCCTTAATTTTTTTCCCCTCTTTTGTTCGAGATTAACTAATTCTAAAACTTAATAGGGATGATTGCAAGATAACGACCAATATTTGGTAAATAAATGGTAATTTATTTGATACTCTTTGGCCTATATCGATATTACTTATGAATTAGAGAATTACAACTAGAGGCACTAGTCAAGCTTAAATTCTAGCCGACTACGAGAGATCGTATTATGATCGATATTTCTAAAACTATATTTTCCCCGAATCGGAGAAGAATCGAAAATCGTGTCAAAGATTGATTTATTGAACTAGGACTAATAAAATTAATTAATAGCTATTATGCTCACTCCAAGTTTCTGATTACCGATCACTAAATGGTATTTCTATCGGATCAGTGTGTATAATGTAATATATATTATATATACGTATATATAAAGTGTATACGCGACGTGATTCACAAAGATAGGTGAAAGATACGGAAGAGTCAAGAAAAACCGATTACTTTCTACATAATAAAAATACTATCATTCTAAAAATTTAAAATACTGTCGTAAAACTTACTAATGATTTTATACGATGCGAGAAAACGATAAATACGTGATTTTTAAATTTGTCTTTCGTGTCACGTATTTTTGGCGATTTTTTTAAAATGTATTCTTTATCTATGATACTATTTGCGTGTACACCTGCCTTTTTTCTTTTTTTCCTCTCTTTCTCTCTCTCTCTTTCTTTCTTTCTCTCACTCATTCTCTCTCACTCTCTCTCTCTCTCTCTCTTTCTCTCGATACACCACAAATTAATTCCGTAAATACAGTCGATCCAGATTAAAAAGATTATTTTTACGAGTGAAATGCTAATTTGGTTATTTTGGACGAAAAAGTTAATACTATATGTAAGTAATTTAAATGCGTGTTCATAAAGATTAAATTCACATTTAATATATGCAAAGGCAAGAAGCAAGCAGCGAAATGCGATTATTTATAAAATTTGTTCTTTTATACATGAAGCGCCAAGAACAATTAATCGTTGGTGATATTACATGTCAATATAAAGAATTATAAAAATTACATTAAACAATAATAATAAAATTTATTAAAAATAAGCGAACATCGGTTAAATTAGCTTATCTTTGGCATTATATTATCGTTTGGTTCCGACTTGTTACTAAATATTTTTACACCGATGGAATCATTGTTTAAAAAAAAAAGGAATGAAACGGAAATATAACGATATACAATATCGTCAAATAAATCTTAATAATTTCTTATAATAAATAAAATTCAATAATGCTATCATATATGTATATATTTTTTTTTTTTTTTTTTTTTGAAGTTTGATTGCTTCTAATACTAATAGGAAATACTGCAACGAAATTAATTTGTACATCTGTCGAGTTTCTCATGCAAAACTGGACCGACACCGGGCAGTGTGTCATTACGGCAGAATCGCATTAAGTGTATAATACTGGCACAGTGAGGCAATGATCTTAGGATTCTCTAAACTATTATTAATGTAATATATTTCTACACTCACCATATAATTCAATCATACTTTCACGCTAATTCTTAATCACACAGTTCCTCTATCATTTGTTCCCTATAAAAACCAATAATAACAATGTCGAACTGTCGAGGGCCGATTCTTTGTCGACG